AAAAAAAAAAAACAAATTTAAGATAATAATAATAACAGTTTAAGATCTTAATATACGAAATAATAATTAATAATTTAAGAATCCTTAATAAGTTAAAATTAAATATGTCCTCAAATTCAAATTTAAATTCACAATATCTCACCCCAGAGCCACAATCAACATCTGACAAATCCGAACCTCTGATCAAAGAAGAAGAAATTGACTTTTCTATAGTCGATGCTTTACCACCACAAAAAACTGGTGATACTGAAAAATCTACAGATATAATAAGTGATGAGGATGATGATTTGAAAAAAGAAAAGAAACTAAGTCAAAAGAAACAAAAAGAAAATGCCGCTACGGTTTCATTCTTGAAATTATTTAGATTTGCTACACCTCTTGATAATTTTTTTATGTTGATTGGATCTTTATCATCGTTGGTAATTTCTTTTTTCTTTTTTTTTTTAAAAAACAAAAAAAAAAAAAAAAAATTATATAAGTACATATACAATATTAATTTGCGTGTTTTCTATTTTAATTAATCATTTATTTATTTAGGCTTTAGGTGCCGCTATTCCAGTCATGACTATTTTCTTTGCTGAATTCTTAAATTCCTTTTACATCTACCAATTCCAACATAATACCTGCTTTCCGTCTTGTGAAGCTAGTGCAAAACAACAATTAGATGACAACGTTAAGTACAACGTTTATAGCTTTATTGTATTAGGTGTATCAGTCTTTGTTGTTGGATACTTGCAAATGTCTTTATGGTCGGTTGCCGGTGAACGTCAAGCCAATGTTAGTAGCATTCATTCATTTTCTTCTTTATTGTTCAAATTATCTTAATAAATTATTTTCATTTGTCTAAAAAAAAAAAGAGACTTAGATTACTTTATTACTCTGCGATCCTTCGTCAAGATATCACGTTTTTTGACACGGTATCAACGGGTGACGTCACCACTCGCATATCTGGAGATATCTCCCTTTATCAAGAAGGAATTTCAGGAAAAGTTGGTCAAATTCTACAATATACTGCTACATTTCTTGGTGGTTTTATAATTGGTTTTATAAAAGGTTTTTATAAAATAATAAAAATTTATTAATGAAATTTTTTTAAGAGAGATAAAAAGATTTACTATTTTATATTTATTAAAATCATTTTTTTTTTCAATTTAGGTTGGAAATTAACTCTTGTTCTTTGTGCTGTGTTTCCTTTATTGGCTATCTCGGGTGCATTTATGGCTAAAGCTCTTAGTAGAGGCACGGCTGAAGGTACGTTATTTTTTTTAATTGAATTTTTTTTATTTTTTGATAGTTTCGTATTTTTATTTATTTATTCAAAAATATTTATTGATAAAACAGGGCAAGGTTTGTAATCTAAGATCTTTATTATATATAAATATTTAATATAATTTGAAATTAAATCTTTTTTTTTTTTCGAAATAGATGCATATGCCGCTGCAGGAAGTGTAGCGGAACAAGTAATTTCTGGTATAAGAACAGTAACTGCATTTGGTGGTCAAAAACATGAAATTGAACGTTACTTTGAACAATTAAAAATCGCGTATAAAATAGGAAAGAGAAAAGCATTAATTAGTGGGTTAGGTCTTGGTATTCTTATGTTTATTATGTTTGGTTGTTATGGTTTGGCTTTTTGGTTTGGTAGTATTCTAGTAGTAAATCATGAGATGACTGGTGCTCAAATCTTAAATGTGTTCTTTGCCGTTTTTATTGGTGGTAAGTTAAATATATTCAAACTTTTTAAAAATATTATAAATTCTATATAAAAATTAATCATATATATCTTTATAAATATAAATATTTATATTTATATATTTAAATGTAGCCATGTCTATTGGTAACGCATCTCCTCATTTTACTTCAGTATCAAATGCTATGGGTGCTGCTGCTAAATTATTTGAAGTAATAGATCGAATTCCTAGTATAGATTCAACATCATCTAATGGTAAAATAATTCAAAAATCTTCTTCAAAAGGTCGTATAGAATTTAGAAATGTTTCTTTTAATTACCCTACAAGACCTGATGTTCAAATTTTAAAAAATTTTAATTTAATAATTGAACCTGGTCAAACTGTTGCTTTGGTTGGTAGTTCAGGAAGTGGTAAATCTACAATTGTTAGTTTATTAGAAAGATTTTATGATCCAATTAATGGTTCTATATTAATTGATGATGTTAATATTAAAGAAATTAATATTAAATCTTTAAGAAGACAAATTGGTTTAGTTGGTCAAGAACCTGTTTTATTTCCAGAATCTATTAAAGTTAATATTACATGGGGTGGTGATCCAATGGAATCTGAACCTACTTTAGAAGATGTTATAGAATCATGTAAAAAATCAAATGCTCATGATTTTATTGATGAATTACCTAAAAAATATGATACTATTGTAGGAGAAAAAGGAAGTTTACTCTCAGGTTTTAAGATTTTTTTTTTTTTAAAAAAAAATATATGTATATTTATTTGGAATCAATCATTATTAAACTTTTTTTATTCCTTTTTTATTTAGGTGGTCAAAAACAACGAATTGCTATTGCTAGAGCTTTAATCAAAGATCCACGGATATTACTTTTAGATGAAGCTACTTCTGCACTTGATACTGAATCTGAACGATTAGTACAAGAAGCAATAGATAAAGCTGCTACTAATAGAACAAGGTATTATTCATAAATTCTTTTTAATCTAAAATTAAAAGATTTGTAAATTTTTATTTTTATAATAATTATATATTATAGTATCGTAATAGCACATCGATTATCAACTATTAAACATGCTGATAAAATAATTGTTATGAAGAAAGGTGAAATTATTGAAACTGGACGTCATGATGAATTAATTGCTAAAAAAGGAATGTATTCTGACCTTGTCAAAGCTCAAGAATTAGAAACTCAAAAAACTATAAAAGGAAGTGATGAAGTTGATGACGATGAACTTGAACTTGATTCAAGTACTAGTTCTCATGATGATACTACAGTATTAATTGATGAAAAGAATCATAAATTACATTTAAGAAAAATTTCTACTAGAGGATCAACTATTAAATCTATAAAGGCTGATGATGAAATTAGGAAAGAAGAAGATGAAAAGAAAATTTTGGCAAAAATGCCAATAGGAAGAATATTTAGATTATCTAAACCTGAATATGGATTGATGTTTATTGGCTGTATTGGTGCTGCAGGTAAAATTTTTAATTATCATATTTATTTTAATTATTACTTTAAATTATATAAACTAATACACGTAAATAATTTTAAAAAGTGAATGGCTGTGTTATGCCTGGATTTAGTTTTGTGTTTTCTTCAATCTTGGATGCCTTCTCACAGGTTGATAAGTAAGATATTAATTTTTTATTTTTATTTTTTTATGTTTAATCATTTAAATTTAATTTTTTTTACAATGTATAACCTATATCTTATAATATAGACCTGATAAACTTAAGCAATCAGCTGATTTCTGGGCTTCATGTTTTACAGCGTTGGCAGTTGTCAGTTTTCTGGCAAACTTTTTTCAATTAGGAATGTTCACTTTAGCTGGTGAACGTCTTACAAAACGACTTAGAGAATTAACTTTTAAATCTTTAATAAATCAAGATATTGCATTTTTTGATGATGAAAAAAATGGAACTGGTATTTTAACTTCAAAATTGGCAGCTGATGCAACGAAAGTTCAAGGAATAACTGGTGGTATGCTAAGTACTGTTTTACAAAATGCTTTTACTTTGATAATTGGATTTGTAAGTATTATAATTATTTCTTCAAATGCAATATATATATATATACTATATATATTAATATAAATACTTATCATATAATGTAAATATAAATATAGGGACTTGCTTTTGGTTTTGGTTGGAAACTAACATTAGTTATTCTTGCTGCTTCACCTGCTGTTGTAATTGCTGGATATTTAGAAATGAGAACGATAACTGGTTTTGGTTCAAAGGTAATTAATTTTAATTATTATTATTATTATTTAACTTTCAAAATATATTCTTAAACAAAAAATCATTTTATTTAATTTAATTAGACACGTGAAGCATATGAGGGTACTGGTAAAATAGTTCAACAAAGTGTTTCTAATATGAGAACAATTGCAGCATTAACTAGAGAAGAAACTTTTAAAACATTATATCAAAATGCAATAAAAGAACCATATTCATTAGCAATTAAAGGAACTTTAGTATCATCATTTGGATTTGGTACATCCCAAGGAATTTTATACTTTATTTGGGCACTTTCATTTTGGTATGGTTCTGTATTAATTAAATCAGATGAATATACTCTTCAACAAATGCTTAGAGTTTTATTTGCTGTTGTATTTTCTGCTGTTTCTCTTGGACAAATGAGGTAATACAAAATTAACAATATATTTTAATATATAAATTATTATATTTATTTATTTATTTTATTTATTTTTGTTTAGTACATTCGCACCAGATCTTGCAAAAGCAAAAGTTGCAGCTATCTCAATTTTTGAAATTATAGATAGAAAATCTGAAATCGATCCTTCAGATGTTGAAGGAAAAGATCGTCCAGCACCAATATTAGGAGATTCATCATTACATTCAGTATATTTCAATTATCCTGCTCGACCAAATATACCAATACTTAAAGGATTAGATATGTCAATATATTCAGGGAAAACCATTGCTCTTGTTGGTTCATCTGGTTCAGGGAAATCAACAGTTATCTCATTATTATTAAGGTTTTATGATGTAAATTCAGGAGAAGTTGAAGTCGAAGGTGTTAATGTGAAACAATGGAATTTAGAGTATTTAAGAGCAAATATGGCATTGGTTGGTCAAGAACCTGTGTTATTTGACTTAACTATTGAAGAGAATATTGTATGTTTATATATATTATATGAAATTTTTTAATTTTTATTAGAAATTATTATTTAACTTTTTTTTTTTTTTTTTAAAGGCATACGGAAAAGAAGGTTGTACTAAAGAAGATGTTGAAGAGGCTGCAAAGGAAGCAAATATTCATAACTTTATTACAGCTTTACCAGATGGATATAATACTCGAGTAGGAGAAAAAGGAACGCAACTTAGTGGTGGTCAAAAACAGGTTAATAATTTGATTTTATATGCTGTATATTAGATACATATCAATATCATAGATTAAACTTTAAAATCTTTTTTTTTTTTTTTTTTTTTTTTAGAGAGTTGCGATAGCACGTGCTTTAATCCGTTCACCAAAAATTTTATTACTCGATGAAGCAACTTCAGCATTAGACTCTGAATCTGAAAAGGTTGTACAGAATGCATTAAATAAAGCTAGTAAAGGTCAGTATTGTCAAACTTTGAATCTTATGTTTTATATAATCTATTTATTATTAAAAGTTTTATTATTATTATTATTATTTATTTATTTATTTAGGCCGTTCAACCCGATTTTATTCTCTTAAACCAATATTGCTCGAGTTTAAAACCGGTTCCAATCTCTGAGTAAACATATTTTAACTAAATCTATTAATTTAACATAATGTAATAAA